GATAAATCATTTGTATCTACTCTTACTCTCAATTATCCTGATTTGGGCTGAAATTGGTCCCCATCCCCAAAGGCTATCGTTGTTTTTTTTTTTAAATCGATTACTATGAATTTCATTTATCCATGAACGATTACAAGGAGGTTCAAAAAGAAAATGATGTAACCACCAACAAAAGTTGGTGCACACTACCCTTTGCTCAAGCATCAGCCATAAACGATTACAAGGAGGTTTAAGAAGAAAATGATGTAACCAAAAACGAAAGTTGGTGCACACAACCCTTTGCTAAAGCATCAATTTCCATATTAGCCTCCCTAAAACAATGAGATAACTCAAAAGAACTACTACTTAAAATAAAAAAATTTCGTCAAAAATATTGCATAATCTCCAAGGTGACTGCATTTATCCTTTTCCCAAACAATGACATTGCTTGAATCACCTTGAATTATCTGTTGGCCTTTGAGATTCTTTATTATCTTTAAACCTTCCAAAAGAGGTTTTGCCTCAATTTCATTCACTGTTGTATGTCCACATGGTCCTGAGCAAGTGAATTTGTAATTACCCATATGATCTCTAATACGGGTAATTTTAGTGAGGAGACATCCAAATAGCATTTCGAATCGAGCTTCTATCAAAGTTGTGTTTTAAGCAATTTTAGTGAGGAGACATCCAAATGACATTTTGAACATGTCTATCATTATTATGCTTAGCAACTTCAGATGGGTTCTCAAAAGTCTGTGACTTTGGGATAAACTCACAATCCTTATCTGTTGAAAACCATTAAGTTACTATTGCTAAGGTGTTGGACTTTAAATCTCCAATCTCACATTGTGTCCCTTCAAAGGTTATTCTATTTCTCTCTCTCTCCAAATATTTCAAATAGTGCTCACCCATAAAGTTCTCCATAGCACAGTGCCAATTTTCCGCAAACCGGGGTTCATCCGTTGAGAGAGGATCAACTATGTGCTTTGTGGGACCAGAATATTTAAATTCAACAACTTTCTATACCACTCCTTCAAGCTTAGAGTGAAAGGATACTATAAAAGAATATATTTCATTATCCCTCAAACAGAGCGTACAAATATTAACATTTATGAAACCTCTCTTACGAAGGTTATCCACCGTAGGCAGCTTTTTTTTAAAAGCTACCCACAAAAATAACTGAACATTCAAAGGAACCTGCAAATTTCATATTTTCACTAAACTATGATCAATCATTCTGTGATTCTCCTCATACAATAGTTGAGAGACAAATTTAACTGAAAAATCCCTTGAAGCTGTGAGTTCCCACACCAATCGATCATCTTTATTGAGAATATAGAAAAAATATGCAACAGATTCATATGCAATTGGAACTCATAAATGAAAGAGTCTGAGACCCTCCTATACTTGCAAGGAGTTAATAAAATCAGAGCCTCTGAGATCTTTCACTGAGGCTAAAGGATTGTCAACTTTGGAGAGGGCCTCAAGGAAAGAATCTCAAAGAGCATAGTTACCCAGCCATTTATCAAATCAAAAAATGTTTCATCTCCCTTTCCAACTACTTTGCAAAAATGACTAAGATATAATGAACGGCATGCATCAATTCTTTCCAAATACTTAAAAAACCAGCTTTAGATATTGGACTTTGAATGAGGGCAGTAAACACATTTACTCCATAGTTTTCATTTAACATCTCTCCTCATAAACCATCATGTTGATTTTAAAAGCACACTAACACTTAGTCAATATGCTAATGTTCATCAATTTGAGCTTTTTAACTCCTAGACCCCTATCTCTCTTGGAAGTGCATACATTTTCCCAATTCACAAGTTTCAGTTCTTTTTCTCATTCCCATATTGCCCAATAAAAAAGATCTCATAATGTTTTTTAAAGTCTTCACCAACTGCTTTGGCAGTTTGAAAATGGACATAAAGTAAATTGGTAAGTTGGATAAAGTAGACTGAATAATACTCGATCTTCCTCCAAACAACAATACTTTAGATTTCCATAATTCCAGTTTCTTATTAAATATTTCAATAATAGGATCCCATATAGCTAGCGATCCTCCAAATAAAGGAATACCCAAATAGTTGCAAGGTAACTTACCCACCCACCCCCAATAATTTCTGTCAAAGATGCAACCAAGTAATCTGAACATCCAATTCCAATGAAATTGGTATTTTCTAAATTTACTTTGAGACCCGTTGCAATTTCCATACACTTTAAGAACACCCACAAGTTCCTTACTTCTTGTTCATCTGGGTTACAAAAGATGGTAGTTTCATCTGCATACTGTAAATGAGATATTGTTAGTATACCGACATGAAATCCACAAATGAGGTATCTACTCACCACAGAATTCAGCATAGTACTAAAACTTTCAGCCGCAATATTATATAAGTACGGGGACAAAGAGTCTTCCAGGCGATTGCCTCTTGATGCTTTAAAATAACCACAAGATTTTCCATTGAAAAGAATTAAGAAATGAGTTGACATCAGACATCCCAAGATCCACACTCTTCAACATGATCCAAAGGCTATTGTTTTTTTTTTTGGGAAAAAGTTCAAAGATATTATTAATCTCGAACGAGATTATAGAATCCAAAATAACGGCTTCAGAGAGGGTAGAACCTCCGTTGGCCAGGGAATCAGCTAGCACATTAGCCTCCCTATACACATGAACAAAAGAGACAGAAAATGAGGAGGCGAGATCCAAAATCTGAAATAACAAAGATTTCAACTCCCAAGGAAGTTTCTGATCTCCTTTGCACCATTTCACAACATTGAGGAAATCCCCTTCAATAATGTAAGAAGTCCCCAAATTCCTCTCCACAAGGGAACGAAGGCCAAAGAGAAGAGCAAAGATCTCTGCATAATTCATAGTCCGCACCCCAAGTGGCCCTACATAGGAGAAGATCACATTACCCATCCAATCCCAAAGAATCCCTCCAAAACTAGTAAAACCCGGGTTACACAATGAGCTATCATTAAAGTTGAGCTTATAAACCCCAAAAGGTGGGACCATCCATCTGCCTTTGGGCCTACACTTTTGCAAACCCAAATGGAAAAGGTCAAAAAGATTACATCTCACATTCACTTCAAAAATATTATGTCTACAACTCGCAATGCAAGATTTTCTCCAAAACTTTTTCGACCGGCAAAGAGATACCTTCAAACATTCTTCTATTTCTCTCTCTCCAAATCTCCCACAGAATGACACCTCTAGAGATTTTCCATACAACACTCCCAGTCCTTGGTAAAGTAAGTGAAAGATTATGAAGAACCCCAATCACCGACGGTGGCATTACCAATGCAGCCCCAAGCTTGTCAAAAAACCACCTCCAAATGCAGCTGGCAAACGGACAATGGAGAAAGAGATGATCACCAGTCTCTTCGTCTTCCTTGCACATGAGACATATATTCGGTAAAATTTTCCCTCTCTTAATTAGATTATCAACCGTGAGAACTCTGTTTTGAACCGCCAACCAAAGAAAACATTGCACTTTGAGAGGTAGGGGCCATTTCTACAAGATAGCTATTTCAGGCATAGACCATCGCACCCTATCATGGTAGAGTAAATGATATATAGATTTAACTGAATAAATCCCATTTTTGTCAATCTCCCAAACTACCTCATCAGAAGCATTATGCAGGATATAAACATCTGTCAATAGTCTATGAAGACCAGCAAACTGAGATAAAAACAAATTAGAAACCCTATTATAAGGCAAACCAATATTCCACTCAACATTACTAGCCCTACAAATAAAAAGCTCGGCAATAGTGGCTTCTTGATTAGTCATCAAATGATAAATCAAAGGAAAACTTAATTTCAATAGGAAGTCCCCCAACCATTTATGATGCCAAAAGGAGATATTGCAGCCATTACCCACACACCACTGAATATCACGATGTATATTGCCTTTACACGAATGGATAGCCCTCCAACTAGCTGACATGCCCCTTACTCCATTCCTATTCCCCGCCCACATACCAAACCTATCAGTTCCATACTTTGAAGCAATCACTTCGTACCAAAAGTGGTCTTTAAGAGTAAGACATCTCCACCACCATTTACAAAGCAAAGCGTGATTAACCAGTTTGATTTTCCTAATCCCAAGCCCCCCTTCTTTTTTAGGCGTACACACTCTATCCCAGCGAAGGAGATGAAACTTCTTCTTCTCCACAGAGGACCCCCACAGAAAGTTTCTCATCATAGTCTCTATTTTCTTTGCTATCGAATAAGGGATTTGTATAATAGATATCTGATAAATAGGTAAGTTTGACAGGCATATCTTAATGAGCGTAATCCTCCCCCCCAAAAGATAAATACTTAAATTTCCACAAATCTAGCTTAACTTGGTTAAGCTGCAAAATTTTATCCCAAACTGCAATAGGGAGACGACCATCTGAAATTGGCATACCCAAGTAGGTAATAGGGAAAAATTTAATCTTACAATCAAACTCCTATGCAAAAGAGGAAACCTCAGCATTAGGGCAATTTACACCTACCATAACTGTTTTCCCAAAATTAACCTTTAAACCCAATGCAACTTCACAACACTTCAAAAAAATAACAATATTAACTTGCGCCTGTTGTGCTTCACAAAAAAGAGGGGTATCATCAGCATATTGCAAGTGTGAAACACACAGTCCTCCATTGGGCATTTAAAAGACTTGCAAAGTGACCATTCCTCGGTATATTGGTAAGCATCAAACTGAAGCATTCCACATATATAGTAAAAAAGAAAGGGAAAAGTGGATTCCCTTGACGTAGCCCTCGGGTGGCCTTAAAAAGTCCCATCGAGCTCCCTTTATAAAGAATTGAAAAGTGAGCTGAAGACAAACAACCTAAAATCCACTGCCGCCACTTTTCACTGAAACCCATATTTTTCATAATTTTTATCAAAACATGTCATTCCACCCTATCATAAGCCTTCTCCATATCCAATTTAATAACCACTGCCGGATTCCCATTAAGGATCTGAGAATGAATGCACTCATGTGCAATCAGAACACTATCAGATATCATTGTCTTTAATAAAAGCTAATTGCGGGCCAGAAATAATAACAGGTAAAACTTTCTTTAGTTGCTCAGCCAAGACCTTAGCCACAATTTTGTATAGACTCGTAAGAAGGCTAATTGGTCTAATATTCCTCAATGCAGCAATCATAGACTTTTTTGGGATCAATGCAATAAAAGTAGAGTTAAACCCTTTAAAAAGGTTTCCACTTCGCAAGAATCTCCTGATCATTTCCAATAGCTCAGAACTAATCAAATTCCAAAATTGGTGAAAAAATATTAGAGGGAAGCCATCAGGACCAGGTGCCTTGTCACCAGGTAAAGCGAAAACTGTCTTTTTTAACTCTTCCAAAGAAACATCTCTATCCAAGATAGAACTTAAGTGAGGCGGTAAAACTTTGAAGCCTACCCGGCTCAATCTAGGGGTACAACTCACTTCCGAAGTAAAAGCACGGTGAAAGTAGTTAATAATAGCATGACTCATACCCTCCCCATCATCCGTGTCAACGCCATCAACCGCTAGGCCAGAGATATCATTTTGGCGTCTCCTAGCATTTGCAATAGCATGAAAGAATTTCGTATTCATATCCCCCTCTTTCAGTCATTTGACCCTAAACTTTTGTTTCCAATACACCTCTTCCACCCTCCTAAGCTCTTGTAACTCATTCAACTTGGCCCTTCTCTCCCCATCCATCTCTGTAGTCCAAGAACTCATTTGCTGCATTACTTGGTCTGTGGTCTCAATAGAAAGCAACACTTCATCAACTTTCCCTTTTATTGAATAGAATTTCTCTTTTTTCCAATCCATAAGCTTATGCTTAATATTGAGCAATTTCTTATGGAGTTGAAAATCAAGAGACCCACTGACAATCGTATTCTCCCACGTGCTTTTGATAAGGTCTAGAATATCATTTTCCTTTAACCATCCAATTTTAAAATGAAAAGGTATAATACTTCCCAAAAAAACCTTAGAGGTTAACAGGATCGGAGTATGGTCCGAAGAGCTCTTGGGGAGTGCTTTAACAGAGGCTAAAGGAAAAATTCAAATCATTCAGGGGAAACCAGGAACCTATATAGTTTAGACATGGAGAGGGAAGTCGCACTCCCATTAGATCAAGTGAATTTTGCCCCTGCAATTGGAAGGTCAATGAAGGCTTAGACGAATTGACGAAGTAATCGCTCCCCTAGCAAAGCATTCATTCGGCCAACGGGTAAAATTAAAATCCCCCCAATACAAATTGAATATAGAAATTGAGAAATGACTTCAGTCATTTCCTCTATAAAATAAAATTTCTGAGCAGAACTATGTGGACCATAGACATTCATCAATTGAAACTTGGCTTCATGACCCACAAAGCCAACAAGCAATAAAAAATCTTTTTTGACAACACGAAAAGAAAGCAAAACCGTAGGGTCTCAAATCAACCAAATACCACTAGACTGACCCACTGAATCAATGCTCACAAAATCTACTGCTCCATGTCCCTAGAATTCCCTAACCCCAGAAAGAGTAGGGCTTGGAAGTTTGGTTTCTTGCAAAATAAGAGCAGTAGGTTTATACTTACTAACCAAAAATAGAACGTCTTTTTTGTGTTTGGGGTCACCTGACCACTAACATTTTAAGAAAGCAATAACATTAAAGATATTTAGGATGGGAAGAACCAGAACCATCCTCCCTTGGTCCAAAGTAGACATGTTTGAGCAGCATCGCCTCCTCCATGGTCACATCATCAGCATCATCCTCTGAGGAAGAAGAAGTGGTGGCGATATCATTAATTTGAGCCTCTCTGATGACCACTCCAGCCTCCGTATCATGCTTCCCTTTCGTTAACAATCTAGCAGATGAGCGAGTACCTTTAACATGGCTTTTACCTGTTTTCTTCTTCGCATTCTTCTCCTTAACAGGGGTAAGAGGTTCAGCATCTCCACCAGACATCAATAAATTGGACTTTTGATTTTCACCTCTAGTGGGAGCCAATTTTCCAACCCTGATTTTCTCTATGATGTCATTAAAAACTACCCCAATGGGTAAATCGAAGTCCATACCAATGTCATGAACTATCGACCCCACTAACTACTCTGCTTGATCAACCCTACCATCCACCGCAGAAGCCAAGTCCATCCCCAGCGGCTCTCCGTCTTGATTCTCCTCTGGCACTGAACCAGGCACCGTCTTAGAGAGATGCAGAAGTAGGGGACGTTCCTCACAAATGATAGAGAGTGGGGCCACATCCACTACCTCCATTCTCGACACCAACTCCTGCTCTTCTTCTTGAGGCACAACAACATTCTTTGGTAAGTTCAACACATGGTCTTCAACATCACCATCCTCTGCCATAGCAATTGGTTCAACATCATCTATAACCACCAAAGCTAGTAGGTTAACCAACAGAGGATCGAAAGGCAACCTCTTCATAGCTCAGGTCTTCCTTGCCGCACGTCAATGCCACAGAGGATACATGGTGGTCCGAATCGCAAGTATCAGCTAAATAACTATCAACTTCTTCTGTATCTCCCACTGTGAAGTCAAAGATTTGCGATGTTGGAGGAGCACCTTCTTTGAACTTAAGGGATGAGAGGCAAACCTCTCATAATCGATCGCCTACACCTTCGTGAACCGATCGCCCCCCTTCTTAGCAATATCAGGGAGCTCCAGGTGTCTAACCATCATAGATTGCGTCCATCCCAAGGAAAACTGCTCATTTAGGCAGCTCGATAAAACTCCCATACCTACACCTTCATCCTTTTTGGAAACTTCCCTAGAAACTTGCGAATGTATATTTGATGGACCCTCAATCACTTTTGTTGGTCCTGCAACACGGTCAATAACGGATTGCTCCAAGCCCATCGTATTATTCGTGAAACGCTTGACAGGCACCCAACGCTTACGAAATTTCAAATTATTATGTTTCCTCTGCAACTTACCAAAATTGCGAGGACCTACCCACTGCTGGCCGGAATTCCATTTTTTTGGCCTAGGCTTACGACGGTGTATGACCTCCTTCCACCCAGATTTTCCATCAGGGTCATTGTCAACCTTCTGTAGTCCTGAATGAAAAGAGCCTCTCTCAAAAGTTTCTTGCATCACAGAAATGGAGAAAAATTCTTGACCCACTCACAAGGTCAATATTTTAGGATATGTGCACCTTCCAATTTCCAAATGCGAACTCTTACAGATCTAAGATCAGCCCCAATGAAATCAGACTTATCAATATCACAAAACTCACCACATTTGTTAGCGAGTTTACGAAAAGTTTGTAACGACCAAACATGGACAAGAACACCCAATAGTCTGATCCACAGACTACATTTTCGTAGGTGTGATTGATGAGAATCCGGCCTCTAAGGGTCAAGGGATAATAGTTTCCCTCTCTAATATGCACAAAACGATTCTTCAAAGCCTCAACAGAGTCCATCTTAGAGAGAAGGAGAAAGATGATCTTGTTCTCTCTCATAACTTTAACCTTTGGAGCACATGACAATCTCCAACTCCTTCTAGCCTAGTCAGAAAGATCGAAAATATCCGTCGAAGGGGGAGAGAAAGATCCCACCACCAGGAACTATGCCTCTGAAAGAATGCCTCCTGAATGATCATACCTAATACTGACCAAATTCGCGTCATCTCCACCTTCAGCATCACCATCCCCATCAAAAACCTTGGACTCCTCCATTATTTACATCTCCATTGCTACTGCCCTTTTTTCTCTCTCTAAAACGACCATCAATACTGCCCTTTTTCTCTCTCTAAGACCACCACTACCACTCTGCTGCTGCCCCTTTTACTCTCTCTCTAAAACCTCCACCTCTATTAAAATTTATCCTCTTTCTCACAAAACTCCAGCACCATGTTCACCTCCGCCTTTAAATGGCTCACCTCTATGGTAGATGATCCTTTAGTAATAAAAACCTTGAATCCAAGATCCGGACTAGAGAACCCCAAATCTAAAAACACCACCTTTCAAAAAACCTAACCCTAGGCCATGAATCGCACTTCTCCATTTTTATAGGCTTGGGCTCCAGGCCAGAGCTTCGTCTATGAAATTTTGACCTTGTGGTCCAACCTTTTGTTGTCTACAGGGGAAGCAATTTTGGCTACATTCTTCTGCATGTAACTCGGAAAGGGATGAACTCCATTAGATCATTTCTCTCTCTCTCTGTTTCCCCGTTTAATCAAACCACAGGAAAAACCCGTTTACAACTTTCCTTGGCCAACTATTCATGTTAATCTTTTTTCCAAAAGATAAGCTTAATAACTCTATCTACTAACTCTTACTTTCTTTCAATCTACATCCCAGCCCAAAAAGATAAACCCTAAGCCCTCTTTTCATGTTCTTCTTTGTCGAGCCAATAAGCAATTGGCTACCATAGCACCTCCTTCTTCATCTATTCTCTCTCATCTCTCCGCCCCAGTTTAGATCTATCTTAACCCTCTCTGCAGCTCTTCTTCTCCAAAACCCCATGTACTTAGCAGGCACCCCAAAAAAACAAACATTCAAAAGTGGTGGGTCATTTCACTTTCCTTCCTTGCACCAATTTCCATGAAGATTTTTCTATACGTTCAATCCAAAAGCTATTGTTGGGGATGCCATTAAGCTTAATTGAATGGTACTGAGTTGACTGCTTCGTACACTAATAGTTTTTTTTTTTTTGGAAGGTAAGTCAGTAGGGGAGAAGCCCCTACCCGTTTTTCTATTAATAAATAAGCCGAGAGCATGTGAAAGTATTGCTGCTCAAAGTGTTACTCATTACTCGACTGTGAGGCTCTCATGGCTTGATGTGCTTGGCATTTTAAATCTATGCAAGTGAAACTTATCTTTTGTTGTACCGCTAAGCCTTTCATTGAATTGTCTACACTTCCAAATCCAACGACTGAGGGTGGTAACACATATATCACGGGTTGGTATAAATTTCGAATTATTGATATATTTTTAAAATATAACTAAATAAAATCATTTAAAAGTAATTTAAATAAAAAATGTAAAATTAATTTTATATTATTTTGATATTTTTTATTTAAATTATTTTTAAATCATTTTATGTAGTTATATTCTTAAAAATATATCTATAGCTCAAAATTTAGATAAATATATTATTAAAACAAAAAATTACAATTAGTGTGAGATGTTGTGAAATCTCAATTATTAAAATACCCTTCCACCCATCTACTTGATGTGGATGGGATGATTTTCCATAAGAGCACGGTTTCTAGAGTACATGTAGAAATGAGTCCACTATTAAAAATCTATTTTTGAGATGGATTTTTTGGCCCAATTTTTAAGGATATATAATTTCTAATATGGAGATCATGAATACAATAAATAAATAAATAATAAAAATAATAATTTTATAAAAAAATATTCAGACCATTAAATTTAACTATTTTTAAATGGACCACCCATTTACATCCATCTTTAAAATAGTAAAGATGGATGTTTTATACCCGGGGACGCAAATGTTGAAATGCATTCCCCCAACTCAAGGAAACAATTTTCCTTTCCTATAAAGATGTTTCCTTTCCTATAAAGGACATAAAAATTGTGCAACTCACTTCTTATTTTTTTATGCTGTAGTGCATCTCTCTCAGCTGTACACGTATAGCTGATGTAGACGTGCTCTTTCTCTGTCTCTCGTACATATAAAGCTCATTTAGTTTGGGGACCCGGTGGGAAGACGGCCCAACCTTAATTATAAATTGAGCTTAGGACGTACCGTTATAAATTGTCATGCTTTTCTTACCTATAAAGCTGATCAAATGTGCAGTTCCCTTTCTCGTATGCGCATAGCTGATGTGGACGTACGTCTCTCTCCGTCTGTCTCTTACATGCATCGCAGGTGCGGTGTGCGACTCTCTAGGTTGGGTTTGAGTCTAGCGAAAATTACATCAAAGGACTTCCTAATCAATGTACCTCACATAATTTTTTCTAGCAATTTCTCTATCAAAATTATGTTTCTTAACAAATACCCCATTACAAAAAGTTCAATTTTTTTTTAACAAAAATATGATTTTCATACCTAACAAATCATTTTTTGATCCCAATAAAAGGAAAGCCGGATTGTACCGGACTGCTCATTTCAAAATGCCAGACCACCACTTTAAAACGCCGAACCCCTTAAAAATGCGGTACAGCCACTTCAAAATGCTGAACTGCCTTTCGAAATGTCTTACCGCTATTTCAAAATGTCAGATTGCCCATTTCTCCAATAGCATCACCCATTCCAGCAAAATAATCGCCGACCGCCTTTTTCAAACGGCGCACAACCTTCTCCAGCTAAAATGATTTGTTAGATAAAAAAATGGTATTTTCATCCAAAATTTTTTTTTGTAATGGGGTATTTGCGACAAAACATGGTTTTTTGGAGAAGTTGCCAAGAAAAATTAGGTTGGGTGTAAATTGATTAGAAAGTCCATTTTGGGGGGTTTTATGCAATTTTCACTTGAGTTTACTTATTGGCAAGGTCGACTCAACCCAACTCAACCTAATATTTATATGTGTAAAGTATATATAAATATATAATTATAGTAACTATGTATTATAAAATACATAATATATTTTTAGATTTCTTTTAATTTCTTGACTTGAACCCAACCATACCTTGGTCTAAGACGGGTCTAGGTCCAACCTAAACCTAGTCGAGCCCGGTTTGAGTCCATGTCGGCCAGGACTCGATCCAACCTGTTCCCAGCCTTAGTGTCATGAACGATAGCTATAACTCTCATTACTATACTTTTCAATGTATATTTGCTAAACTTTAACATGCTGTTATCGATGCATCCACAATCACTTCGCTAAGAGATAAATGGCATAGTCCCATTGTACCAAATTCACACTTGTTATACGTGATAAAAAAAAACATGTTTTATGATATTTTTTACTTGAAAACTCGGGGTTTACTTTTTAGTAGCTGACAAATTCAAAAGGCAAAAAAGATTTTGAGTTTTTGAAATGGAGTTGTTCCTATTGAGTAGATGGTCCGTAGATGTGTGATTTACTTGGAATACTCTTTTGAGCAACAAAGCGATTCTCTTTTAAAAAAAGAAAAAAT